ACAACAACAACACTCCACACGCTTATTTGGTAGCTATCAACAGAGGTCGCAATGCTTGAACATCTCAAAGAGGAGACCATGCTGCCTACGCCCAGCTCATAATCATTTATCTTATAACCATGCCCGACCAGGAAACTTTGGTGGCTTTCTAGGTTTTTTCCCCTTCACTGAAAAATGCTATAGGCATAGACTCGTATCAACAAATAAGCTAGATTTTTTCTATCAACATTTACTGGTACCTTGGTTCAAAATTTTTGTAAAAGACTTCCTGTGATTGCCATCTCTCTTTCTCCATTTTAGTCAAACCCAACAATTTCCTCCAAATTGCTTCAAGTCATACAAATGTTCCAGCCTCTTGGGTCCGTTTGTCAAGTTCTAGTGAGGTAGGTAGGGCAGGGCTTATAACATGTCATCTCAACCATTTGTGCGTAATCAACTACTAGGTCATGCAGCGAGCTTCTATTTTCAAAGGTTGAATGGTCTCAAATGAATCACAGAATTAAAGAATTATAAACAAGAACATAAAAAATTTTTGCTAAGCTTTCGTTCAAGTTCTCAATCGACTTTTTGCACAAAATTCAAGTATCAATACTGCCATAAATCCTCACTGGTTCTTTATTAACTGAAAAAAATTCAACGTAAACCAGAATAAAACAGAGAAAGATGAACTTCCCACACTTGTGAAAGGTCAAACAATCCTTGGAAAGGGATCACAGGGGACCAGCAAAAGTTCCATTTTCCCTCTGCTCGTTCCACTTATCAACCTGCACAAAATTAGGCACATGGTCAATATTGAGCTAGAACACCAATGCACGGTACTGGAAGAAAAGTTAACGAATTTGAATTAACAAATAGTAGAATCTAATACTCATTCTTTTATGTGAATTGACCAACTTAAAACACAATGATTGAAACAGAAGTAGCTAATTTTTCTGAATATATTGACCAAAATGATTTCTTCATAATATCCACCATAATATGTCCTCAATAGACATATGAATGACTTACCACAGATGAAGTGCAAAGATCAATCTGTTGGACATCCTGGCAATCTTTAAAGAATAATTCACTGGAAATTATAGAATAATGTGTTTAAAGAGATACTTCTAAGAGGAAATTCACTTCTTTCAAGAAAAATGCTCGACAGAGATGTAAAGAAGATGCAAAGGCACACAACAATGTAGATGTTTCTCCTCTAAATCATGTTATAATGATATCCATAATAAATATATGATTTTACAGAGATAAAGACTGGAAATATTTCTATAACAACAATTATAAGTATATCAGTTCCAATTATCCAGCTAATGTCAAGCTAGGCATCTGTGCCCTCATGTGACTCCAAATACTTGCCTATATAACATTTGATATCAAAAACCACAGATCACTAGTAATTGCTTATAATCTACACATGTTGAGAGTCAACAAGTAACAACACAGCTTTCACTCGCATGCCCATGCTGATAAGAAGTACTTCTCAAAAACATACTCAGAAAGAAAAAGTACCCAACCTAGCACTGCATATTCAGATTTTAAACTAAACAAATATTCAGTTATTGCAGTAAGACAATAGGCTTGTGTACTTACCCATTCACCAGGACAGAGTGACCGATAATATTTGGCAAATTTTTCACATTCATTAAAATCTTCACCTTTGGCTGCCACACACCTGCAAATTAAATTGGTGCTTAAAGAATAAAACAGAAAAAGGGTATTTCAAAGTCATGCATCAAGCACAGTAGCAAAAAGTGGAACTACTTTACCTATGGAACTCAACATAGCGCGTGAAACAATGTCTTGTCTGATTCGTTGCAGGGAATCTAATATCCACAGGGACTGTTTTCAGTTCAATCTGATAAACAACACCAGTGAGACATAATGTAAACAAGGAAGTTAAAATTATATCCTAAGACTGACATGATACAAGCCTCCCATGCATTGAAATGAAGGATTGCTGCAATAAACAGGCAGCTGTGAAAGTTTCGTAATGCCATGACAAGCAGACAAAGAGACAACTCAAAGCAACACAAGAAGATTAAAAAAAGTTCTAGCAGATCCTTAGGTCAACCTAGAAAACTGGTATAGTAACTTTACCATGACAAATACTGGGACAACTGAAGTTCGAACGAAACAATAGCAGGAACTTATTAAAGGAGAGAATAAATTTTGATCCTTGATTGAGAGAAAATTTTTAGATGTACAACTGACAGTTGGATAAAAAGAAAACACCACCCAATCTTAATGGCTACATCCAAACCCAAAAGTTCATCACAATCCACAAATCCATAGAAACCTAGCTCAGTCCTGGATTCATTGGAAACATTCATATGCAAGTAAAGTGTGAAATTTTGTATAAAAAAGCCCTAATAGTAATAAATTACAGATTAAAAAATGACAAATCGAAAGATAAGTTCTAATAATCAGAACTCTTGGCAACATGTATGATTAAAAGATGTAACAAAGTAATAAACAATTATAATTTGAATGAGGATGGTCAAGTAGAATTTCGAATTTTTATGTTAGCAACCCGTTTTACTACAGATTTCCCAAGTTCCGTCTAGAGCCAACATAACAATTATGCACAACACATCTACAGGGGCTTCCCGGGCAGAAAAGAAGAGTTAAAAAGAGGAAATTTCATGAAATTGATATTTCAAATTCCTTTCTTAACCCTTCTCAATAAGTATGCCTCTTTCCCCAGTTCATTAAAAAATGCTACAGACATTGATATTAAAAAATTACACGTTTTACTGAACGATTAACCATAAAGTCATCAATTTATTTTCCAAATAACGTGTTTATTTCATATGTGTTCATATATACATTTAGCCTATATCAGTTAATCCCACAATCAATCCAAACAACCCATCGCATCGAACTAAGGTGCGCAAATGCTAGGTATAAATGCATAACAAACAAGTAAGACTAAATGCATATGGATTTCGTTGTTGATTGATTAAACAGAAATAAAACTCAACAGATTCTTGCGATCCATAGAAAACATATTGAAACTGAAACCATTTCCTCATGATGAAACAGAAATCGTGGCAAATAACCGAGAAAAACTTTGAAATCTCATTAGAAAATTGGGTTTGAAGATAGAAATAAGAATTTCCTTCGCTTTTGAAGTTTCCCAGGAAACAAACCGCGAAAGAGAAAGAAACTGAGCACACGGAAGATTTACCTCGTCTGCCATGACTGATCCAATCAGAGAGCAAGAAGCGAGAATCGGTAGAAGGAATTAGGAAACTCGGGGGTATGAGAGGACCTAGCTAATGTTCCCCGTCTCGCCCGGTGACCATTAATTTTGTACTTAAAATTTGTAAGATTATATACCATTTAGTCTCGACATTTTTTTAGAGGTTTAATTAGAAATTTAGTGCCTTTAATTTTTATTTTTTCTATAGTATGTTTGTTTTAAAATTTTTTTGAATTAATTTAAATTTATGTATTTTTTAATTTTATCATTAAATTATTTTTATATTTTTTATATATGACTAAAATATTAATTTAGATATATTTATTAATATTATATTGAGTTATAGACATTGTTGGAATGTTGATTAAATTATATACAGATGAAAGTAATAAGAAAATTAAATGTTATTCACGTGTTACTCACAAGATAAAAATTTTAATAGTTATATAAAATATGATATAAATATTATTTTCTTTATTTTTTTGAAGCAAAAAAAAAAAAAAAAAAAGGTACTTTGGAAGGTCGGGTGGGCTTGACCCAAATAGGTAAACCCGACCCAATGGATTATTTTGACTGAACCACCTTAGCAACGCCCTAAGTTCTAAGTTTCATAGTTCGTATACTCGATACACACTGCGGATACCAGAACTAGTCCAAAGCTAAAACATTTGCTTTTGCGGGAGAGATGTGGAGATCTATTGCAGCACGGACGAGGTTCGTTGCACGAAATTTCCGTGCAACTCAAAGCCCTAAGGTACTGTCTTCTTCAATCATATCTCAGTCTCAGTTACCTCTGAATTCTGCTCGGGTTTCACTTATTTATCAAAAAGGTAGATTTCTCTCTTCCCTCGGTATTGATCAAAATGGGGATACCCAGCAAGAGGGTATTGCCCCAGGGAATGATAATATTGAGGCATTGGATCAGTCTTCTTTGGGCATTGGTGAAAATGGTGATGTTCAGATAGAATCTCTTACATATGGAGATGGAGGCACTGGTGAAGATGGTAACCTCCAGCTCGATAGCATTGATGAAAGAAATGTTATTTCTGAAGGGTTTTCTGCGAGTTTTGATGATGCCCAGATGGAGACTGTTGGTACTGATGATAGTACAGAGGAGGTGTATCAAATTGACGTGGAGAAATTGGAGAATCTCCTGTCTCTTTTACAGAGCTCCGTTGGCGATTCTCTGGCGTCGAGCCTTGATAGTATGGGTTTGGACTTGCATCAAGAATTTGTCGTTAAAGTGCTTGGGACTCCATGTGTTTTGGGTGAGAATTTGATTGGGTTTTTCACGTGGGCAATGAAGAAGCCGGGGTTCAAATTGACTAGGCCTGTTGTGGAAGCTCTTGTTCATGGTGTCAGTACTGGTTTGAGGAAGCGGGAAGTGTATGCTTTGTGGGATTTGATTAATGAGGTTGGGGAAAAGGAGGATGGTC